CACGACCCCACCCCAGCAAGACCACACCCCAGCACGACCACACCCCAGCACGACCACCACAGCACGACCACACCCCAGCACGACCACGCCCCAGCACGACCACGCCCCAGCACGACCACACCCCAGCACGACCACACCCCAGCACGACCACACCCCAGCACGACCACACCCCAGCACGACCACACCCCAGCACGACCCGATCGATAAATCACAGGGTGCGGACCACCCCAGCACGACCACACCCCAGCACGACCCCACCCCAGCACGACCCCACCCCAGCACGACCACGCCCCAGCACGACCACACCCCAGCACGACCACACCCCAGCACGACCACACCCCACGCACGACGACCCCACCCCAGCACGACCCCACCCTAGCACGACCACACCCCAGCACGACCACACCCCAGAACGACCACACCCCAGCACGACCCCACCCAAGCACGACCCCACCCCAGCACGACCACACCCCAGCACGACCACACCCCAGCAGGACCCCACCCCAGCACGACCCCACCCCAGCAAGACCACACCCCAGCACGACCACACCCCAGCACGACCTCACCACAGCACGACCACACCCCAGCACGACCACGCCCCAGCACGACCACGCCCCAGCACGACCACGCCCCAGCACGACCACCCCCCAGCACGACCACCCCCCCAGCACGACCACCCCCCAGCACGACCACCCCCCAGCACGACCACACCCCAGCACGACCACTCCCCAGCACGACCACACCGCCTTGGTTGAGTGGTTGCCTGTCGTCGTGGAATGTTTCGTGGGGTGTCTCGTGGAATGTTTCGCGGGGTGTCTCCTGGAATGTTTCGTGAGGTGTCTCGCGGAATGTTTCGTGAGGTGTCTCGTGGGATGTTTCGTGAGGTGTCTCGTGGGATGTTTCGTGAGGTGTTGCCCCGTTGGGTATCGTGAAAACGTGCCCATGCTCCACATGTCTATATCCCTTTCCGGGTTCGTGGGTCCATCATGTTGATAATTTGTTGAAGATGTCTCGAGCGAAACGCTGGCTTTGCAAAATTGGAGGATGTCTCGAGCGGGGGCCTCGTGGGTGGCCAGAATTCAGAGGGTGTCTCAAGCGAAATGCTTGTTTTCGCGTCCCGATCGCAGGGATTCCAAGGATGTCTCGCGCGTGTTGCGTCCCGCGCGTAAGAATTTTGAAGGTGTCTCGACTAATTCGCTTGTTTTGCTTGGATTTCTTGGGATTTTGACTGGATGTCTCGAGCGAACGCTTGTTTTTCATAATTTGTTGAGGATGTCTCGAGCGAAACGCTGGTTTTGCAAAATTGGGGGATGTCTCGAGCGCGGGCCTCGTGGGGGGCCAGAATTCAGAGGATGTCTCAGGCGAAATGCTTGTTTTCACATTAGCTCTGGGGCAGCTACTATGTGTTCAGGCAGCTCGAGCTTAAGATCCCGATCAGTTCGGTCAGGACTCGGATGCAAAGGAGGACTCGATCCACGAGGCTATAGAGCACAATCGCGCCATTGCACATCGCAATTCAGCACGGCGCAGCACAGCACATATTTCGGCACGGTACATCAAGATCGATACACTCAGCATTGCAACTTGGCACGTTCCTTGGCACGTTCCGTGGGGCGTCCCTTGGCGAGTCCCCCTGGCACGTCGCGTGGCGCGTCCCCTGGCACATCCCGTGGCACATCCATTGGCACGTTCCGTAGCGCGTCCCCTTGGCACGTCCCGCGGTGCGACCCCATGGCACGTCCCCTGGCACGTCGCCTGGCGCATCCCTTGGGACGTTTCGCGGCGCGTCCTCCTGGCATGTTCCCCTGTCCATTAGCTCTGGGGCAGCTACTATGTGTTCAGGCAGCTCGAGCTTAAGATCCAGATCAGTTCGGTCAGGACTCGGATGCAAAGGAGGACTCGATCCACGAGGCTATAGAGCACAATCGCGCCATGGCACATCGCAATTCAGCACGGCGCAGCACAGCACAGCCCTCGGCAGGTACATCAAGATCGATACCTTCAGCATTGCATTTGCCCGTCACCCAATCAGGTGTCTTTGAAAACGCTGCCATGTGTTACAGTTCTATATTCCTTTCCGGGTTCGTGGATCGATCATGTTTTAAAAAATCAATGAAAAGATTTGAACCCAATTAGGTTCCAATGCCAATCCTCTGGATGCGGGATCCGTTTTCTTTCTATTGGGATCTAATTGGAATCTATCTAGAATCCAAATAGAAATCTTTTAGATCTGGGATCCGCTCTCTTCCTATGGAAATCTTATTAGGATCCAATGTGATTCCAATATAAATTCTCTGGATGAGGGATCCGTCCCTTTTCCCGGAAAGGGCGTGGGCCCAGGGTTTTCTTTTAGTGGGTTTACCCCCCGGTTTCGACTTGAAGGGGGCCGGCGAAATTATTTTGCGTAAATAACGAAGTAAAGTGCTGATTTTCAATCGAAGAAGTGCGTTTCGCGCGTGCCCGCTCGAGGAAAGTGCGCCCCCCATCTCGGATCCTCGATAAAAAACCGGGGTCCGCAGACCCGTGTTTTCCATCGTAAATTAGCCTGGCGAAGGACCCAACCATATGCAGTTGTGAGTAATGCTGGTGTGAGTACCGTCTTCGGTGGATCTCCCTATGGGGCCACGAACCGTTTGAGGGGTGTGCCGAAATGGGTGTGGGGGCGGCATGCGAACGTTGCCACTGGGGCCTTCGGTGGAGCTCCTTATGGGGCCACGAAGCGTGTGAGGGGTGCACCGAAGTTGGTGTGGGGGCGGCATGCGAACGCAGCTACTGGGGCCTTCGGTGGAGCTCCGTGTGGGGCCACGAAACGTGTGAGGGGTGTGCCGAAATTGGTGTGGGGGCGGCACGCGAACGCAGCCACTGGGGCCTTCGGTGGAGCTCCCTATGGTGCCACGAAGCGTGTGAGGGGTGTGCCGAAATGGGTGTGGGGGCGCATGCGAACCCAGTCACTGGGGCCTTCAGTGGAAATCCCCATGGGGCCACGAAACGTGTGAGGGATGTGCCGAAATGGGTGTTGGGGAGGCATACGAACCAGGCCACTGGGGCCTTCGGTGGAGCTCCCTATGGGGCCACGAAACGTGTGAGGGGTGTGCCGAAATGGGTGGTGGGGAGGCATGCGAACCCTGCCACTGGGGCCTTCGGTGGAGCTCCCTATGGGGCCACGAAACGTGTGAGGGGTGTGCCGAAATGGGTGGTGGGGAGGCATGCGACCCTGCCACTGGGGCCTTCGGTGGAGCTCCCTATGGGGCCACGAAGCGTGTGAGGGGTGTGCCGAAATGGGTGGTGGAGGCATGCGGGCGCAGCCACTGGGGCCTTCGGTGGAGCTCCCTATGGGGCCACGAAACGTGTGAGGGGTGTGCCGAAATGGGTGGTGGGGAGGCATGCGAACGCAGCCACTGGGGCCTTCGGTGGAGCTCCCTATGGGTCCACGAAACGTGTGAGGGGTGTGCCGAAATGGGTGGTGGGGAGGCATGCGAACGCAGCCACTGGGGCCTTCGGTGGAGCTCCCTATGGGGCCACGAGACGTGTGAGGGGTGTGGCGAAATGGGTGGTGGGGAAGCATGCGAACGCAGCCACTGGGGCGGGCCTTCGTTGAAGCGCCCTATGGGGCCACGAAAAGCGTGTTGGGTGTGGTGCCGAACTGGGTGG